AAGTGAAGTGAAGTGAAGTGAAGTGAAGTGAAGTGAAGTGAAGTGGGAAGCTAAGGCTAGTGTGGCTGCCAGCTTGGCCTGCCTGTGCCTCCCTGAGGCTGCTCCGACCCTGGGGATTCTCCAGAGTGGACCCCATCATCCTGGGCTGGGCAGCCAAATCCATAGCCTTCACTGCTCGGGGAGCCTTACCTCTCTGGGCAGAATAGGCCAGTGGTCCTTAGACCCAAGCAGGCCAAGGTCCAGCTTAGAGAACATTCAGGGGCCCTTGACCCCCTGATGCTACCAAGATCTGGGGTCCCCAAGAAAACTGGGTGCCAGGCTCTACTGGCCTGGCTCAGCCATCTCTGAGACAATAGACACCATTCATTCATCAGAGGTGGCTGAATAGTTAAAGATATAAAAAAATGCATCACCAAAGGTTTATAACAAATTTGGCAAGAAAACCACTGGTTCTTTCAGAGAGGGCTGAAAATAAAGTGGTCTCAGGTATCTTGCTATCTGTGCTCCTAGCAGTGCCAGAGCAGACTGATGTTCCTGAAGAGAGCGGCAGAGAGGTACCAAGGACCTCATTCAGGACCTGGAAGTCAGGAGCCCTGGGCGCAGCGGGGTGAGGGGCCGGGGCAGTCAGCGGCAGCCTGGAGGTGGAGGAGTGATGGAGTGAGCTGGGAGCAGGGGGGCTGCTAAGGAGAGAATGGCTGAGACAGAAGGACCCAGAGAGGGAGACAGAGTGACTCAGAAATAGTGATGATGAGGCACAATTCAGGTCTGGGCAGAGAGGGGCACCGGGACATGCGAGGGAAGGGTCTCTGCAGAGAGTCAGGTGCAGTGAGGCGAAAAGCCAGGCTGATGCAGGGACGAGGGGAAGGGGAAGCAAACAGCAAGCTGACGAGTTGAGAGAAAGAGATCAGTGAACTAACTGGAGGAGAAATCAGAGGCCAGAAGTTGACACAGACCAGTAAGATCAACCTCCAGGCCAGTGGACAAGGCTCTAAGTGCCCCGTCTCAAACAGGATACTCAGAGCCACTTGGGGTTTCTTAGCTGTGGCAGGTGGGCTACGGGTCAGACTCCTGGGGCTCCCCCAGATCAGTGGATTAAGCTCAACGGAAGGTGAGGACACCAACAAACGCTTATCATGATCACTTGTGAACTTCTCACGAGTCTGACATGTTCTAGGGGGAGTGAGGGCAGAGAATAATCTGCCCACCATGTGCCCACTGTGGGTCAGGTGCTGAACCACATTATCTGACTTTATCTACTAGGTCCCTCTGAGGTGAAGTTTGAAGGCGCTCATGTAACAGGTAAGGAAACAGAGGCTCAGAGAGGTCAAGTCACTTGCAAAGGGTCACACAACTGGTAAAAGCAGTGGTGCTGGGAAAAGATCAGCAGCCCCCAAAGACCTGGGGGTTAGGAACAGTCAGGACCCACCTGTCGGACGAGGGCCAGCTGCAGGGAAACATAGAGGATGACCTGGGGGTCGCCAGGCGCCAGCTGCTGGGCTCTGTATGGGGAGAGGGAGCACCAAGTCAGTCACCAAGGGCTGAGCAGCAGTGTCCGATATGGGCCTCCAGCATGCCATGTGTGCTGGGTGCACGGGGTAAAATGTTGGGGATTCTGCCTGGCCCCGCTTGGAAGGTTGCCCAGCCAGAAGATGATGGCTTGGGCAGAAAGCCACTGGCAGGGGCAGTGGGCTCCTAGAAGGCTGGCTCTGGCTCAGGTGGGGGCCATCTGGCAGGGGTAGGATTGGGGGTGGGAAAGCCCCCAATCTCTGGGCAGCTGCTAGCCTGGCTGTGGCCCTGCTGTAGTCTTATACAGAGCCTGGAGCCTGCCCTCTCCACCACAGGACAGAGGGAACACCTTCCTGAGGGTGGAGGGGCTGGGAATGGGCAAGAAGCCTCAGGAATGAAGAGGTGGCAGGGGAAGGAAGGAAATGTCCCTCTGTCCTGGGCACCCAGGATGGGACTCTCTGACCTCCCTGGGTTGGGGAACAGCCCGCCCCCAAAGGGAGTTAGATATGCTACATATTCCAAGGAAGCTGGCACAAGGAGTCTGGGGCATGCCCCTTACCTGGCAGTGCTAGGGGGATGGAGGTGTGGGGGACAAGACACACAGGGCTCTGAGGAAGGAATGGGGAGGGATGCGCAGGGGGCCAGGGCTGTGGCGGAGACAGGAGCTCAGGAAGGATGGGTCTGAGGGAGGGAGGGCTGCTGCTGGGGGAAGGGCTTCTCTGCCTCCCTTCCCCTCCTCCCCACCCGCACCTTCCTGACCCTGCAGCTGCCAGGAAATCTCTAGGACTATGGGTGGGGGCTACTCACAGCCCTTGAATTTTTGAGTTCCTGCCACAGGTAAGGCACTGTGTAAGGTGCCTGTCCTGCTTTATCTCAGGAAATCATCAAAACAATAATGGGTTATTATTCCCATTTTAGAGCCTTGAGCTCAGGAGGGCTGGGGCTCAGCCTGGGGCTTATGTGTGAGCTTTTAGAGCCTCAGTTCCCTGATCAATAAGATGGGGACAGAAACCTTTGCTCCGTCTACGACCAGAGGGTCCACTGAGATCCAACATGTGCACTGGCACCTCTGCCTCCGTGCACTTCCGGCCCCCTCACCTCTCCAGGGTGTGCAGTGCTTTCCGGTGCAACTCATCCTGCTTGCATTTCAGAGTCGCTGGAGGAGACAGGATGGAGACAGCCATGAGGGGATGCGGAGGGTGCCGACCCAGCCCTGCCCCACCCCAGGGCACACAGGATCTGCAGGGAGAGGTCCCATTGGGCCCTGTTTGGCAAATGCTTGTACCCAAGCAGCTCCAACTGATGCCACCCACTGCCCTGGTTACTGGGGGAGGGTGTGCGGTGCCCACCTGGCCCCAGCCCCTGGCATGGTTCTTGGCACACCAGGTCCTTCCACTCCACTGCCTTCTTTGCCACCTGGGCCAACCTGACCCTCTCAAAGGCCTGAGCCTGGATGAAAAGGTTCCTACTTCTGTCCTGGCCACATGCCTCCTTGGGCTTCCTTACCCACGAAGCCGCTGCTTCTTTAGCCATTTTAACAAATTTTAAGTGTACAATTCAGGGGCATTAAGTACACTCACAATGTGTAACCATCACCTCCAGAGCTTTTTCATTACCCTTAACAGAAAGTCTACACCCACTGAACACTAACTCCCCTCCCCCTAGACCCCTCAAAACCTCCATTATACTTTCAGGGGCCAATACCTATCCCAGGTTTAGTCTGGGGGGACCCATCACTCCCTATCTCTCAAGGTACAAGGATACAGAAGTAGGTGGCTGCCTGATCCCTGGGGGACACACAGCTGAGCTGGCAGGGTTGGGAGAGAATGCCAGGCTCTTGGTGGCAGGAGTGAAACCTCTCTGCCAAGCACAAGTATTTATTAAACACCTACTGTGTACCCAGCTCTACATCATGCATGGAGGGGGATCCAAAAGACCTCAGAAGGTCACAGCAGTGCTGAAGTTAAAGATGAACCAGAATGCACTAGAATGTGGGGTCAGGGCTGGCAGCCCTTACAGTTGCCAGCACCACAAGGGGCACCAGAGGCAGAGGCTGGGACAGGCTCTGCCAGGAGCTGGGCCTTGAAGAAGGCATCTCTGAGAGTAGTGAAGTCTGGGGAAAAGTGAAAATGGGACTGAGGGGTGTGTTTGTGTGTGTATGTGTGTGCACTGTCCCAGAGTAGTCAATGGGGATGTGTTGGGAGGTGGCCACTGATGGAACAAGAGGCCTGGGGAGGGCTATTAGGTCTGAGTCACCCCAAGAAGAGGCTGAGATCCTGGCACTCACCGTCAGTGGCCTGCAGGCTGTAGGTGAGACCCAGCGCCAGGTAGCCCTTGGAGAGGAACTCCCCAGCTTCCTCCCCGAGGTTGACCACCATCATGGCAAAGCACTCTGCCTCCTCCAGCTGCAAAGAGGAGAGGCAAAAGTCACTGGGATGGCTTTGCTGGCCTTGGCATGCAAGCCACTCATAGTCACCAGCCCTGCAATTCCTAGTGTGTGGGCAGCATGACCAAAAGGGCCAGGTGGCTTGTCTGAGGCCACACAGCCAGAGTGGGAGGATCAAAGCTGTTACCTCTATCAGTGATGCCTGGACCTCACCACCTACCCAGGGGCCAGTGCTCAAGGTTACAGGGCACTACCTTGCTCAGAGAAAGCTTCGTTTGTCCCAGGGATCCGTGCCTCCCATCACTTGGTCTGTTGAGAGCATGGACCCAGGACCAAGCCAGTCAACGCCAGCTCCTTTCCTCATCTGGCCTCTGCAGGTACCTGTGTCTGTCCCTGCTCAGCAGGAGGAAACCAGGGACAGGGGGAACAGACAGGGGTCTGGGGCTGGGTGTAGGGGGATACCGCCCACCCTACAGAGTGGCCAGGCTGCCACTTCTGTTCTGCCTGTGAACTCAAACCCTGACCCAGAGAGCTCAAATTTTTCAGGGGGAAAAAGCCTCGGGCTGTTTTTGTCCTGTTCCAGTTGGAAAGGGACCAACTGGCACAGGTCACGTGTGCACACACCATTATATACAACATATGACACAAAGAGAGGGGCAAACACAAGGCAGGCCTCCGGAGCCCTCTGGGTCACCCATGGAGGTCAGGTCAGTTAGGGAGGCAGGGGACAGCTGGGGACCTCAGCCATGCCCACTCACAGCCTATAGGCCTCTGAGAATGTCCCCTTCCTCCTTTCAGGCCCAGGAATGTCATCTGCCCACATGCCTGGTGTGGCAGTGTACCCAAGTTCGTGTCACCAAGAACAAAGATCAGTTCTGCCCCATAATAAGGAGGCTTAACAAAGGTCCCCTTGTGTGGGTGTTTTCCCCCAGTAGAGGCCCATGAAGTCAGTCAACCAGGGAGCAGAGTCAAACCTAAGTTGGCTTCTGGCACCCAAGCCAGTGCACCCGGCCCTGCTCCTGTCCTTGCCTAGGCCCAACCCCACTCCCTTGGGAGAGGGGCAACTCTGTGCATCTTGTGGCATGACCACTGGCCATAGCTGGGAGTGGGAGGACAATGGACTCTCTCTCCCTGGAGTGTGGAGTTAAGATGCTGAGACAGAGGCCATGTGGAGAAAAGAGTTGAGCTGAGTCCACCATTTGGGTGCAGCTGTGGTGGGCTACGGTGCAGGACAAAGGTTGATGGAGCAGAGAACACAGTCAGTGAACAGAGAGGGAAAGAAATAAAACCAAAGTACAAGGGAGCCTGAGAGAGTGATCTGACAGTCCAGAGAGAGATGGCTGAGGAGGGCTGGAATCCCTCTGTGGTCCAAGCGCCATCCCTGACAAATGTTGACCAGGGCAGCCTTCTGGTTTCCTCCTGGTCAAGCTCAAGCTGCAAGCTGCTGGCCTGGGCAGTGGGTCACCTCCAGGTTCGTAGGCTGGCCATTTAAAAAAAATGAAGGAGTTGGGGAGCTGGGCCTGAAACCATTAGAGCAGAGGAGTTGGGGTTCAGGGGGAAGTAGCATCTCAGGAAACCCCACAGCTCTCTTGGAGCACCTGACCCTGCAGGACTCAGGAGGGCTACAGGGCCCAAAGTCAGAGCCAGGTTGAGACAAGCCCCCAGACACCGGCTCTGATCCTGGCTCGGCACCTGATAGCCATGGGGCCTTGAGCAAGTCACTTAGTTTCTGGGCCCCAAAGGTCCTCACTTGCAAAATGCAGAGTTGGACCCCCAACTTAAACTGCTCCTCCCTACAAACCTCCACTGAGGCATCTGCAGCACCACACTCTGTGCTGGGCCGAGCTGGGGATGCCCAATGACAAGGGGGGCGGGATGCCTGGTGAGCTTGCACGGGACCCTGGAAGCCAAACAAAGAAGGGCAGGACCCCACAGAACAAATTGGATCTTAATTAAGGCTATACTGTGTGGGGCTGGCATGGGACTATGGAGCTTCAAAAGAGGGGCGATCGTGTGGCCGGGGTTGTCCAAGCAGGTCTCAGGTCAGGGAGGAGGGGCAGCAGGCACGATGGGAAGAGTGAGTGAGCAAAGAGCACCTTTCCTCCTTCCTAACATCCCCATTGCTGATGCAACTCATCTCACACACTGTCTTTAGTCCTCACTATGCCTCATGCAAAAGAAACAGGCTTTTTTTTCAATAAACCACCAAGTACAAGTTATAAAAAGAATGGAGAAACCTACTGCACTCCATGTGTAAACACTCTCTCATGGCCACGTCCTTCTACTCGGCCAACGCCAGCTTCTACCTCCTGCAACCCACATGGAGAGGGTGCTGGGAACAAGGCCCCGCAATTACTGGCAAACAGGGAAAATTACTCTCTAGTTCAAACATGTCATATTCTGGATTAATAGAGCTCACCATATTTTAGCTTTAAAAAGCAAAAACATACATCCTTAGCTTGTTCACTTGTGGTCCACTCTGACCCCCAAGCCAGTAGCCTTCCTTCACCAGTACTTGCCAGCCTTATCCACATAGTTTAAAACAATCTCTAAGCATGGTGTCAGCATTTCTCTCAAATCAAACTCACAAGGCTTCAACGTACCATTGCTACATAGCCAACACTATTTTGATTTCTTTTACCAGAAACAAAGCAGCCTTTTACATGTGAAGCCAATGCAGTGATTAAGAAGGAAAAGAAATATTATCAAGTCCATTAAGTATGACAATATCCAATATGGTAAACCCCCAAGTATATATGTATTTTTAAATATAAAATATATATTATAAAAACAAAAACTATTTAAAGAAAAAAAGTATATATAATGCATGATTCCTCTTCATCTAAGACAAGAGTGGGATTCCTAAAGCCCTTGAGAATGTGGCTTTTTCACCTTTGTCCTGAAGAACTATAATCCAACCTAAGTCCCGAGTCAGCTCCACACCCCATGATAGCTCTCCACGAAGAGAGCAGGGCAGCCTAGTAGCTAAGAACACAAGCTCCAGGGCCAGACTTGCTGGGCTCACATCTCAGTCTGGCTACTTACTAACTGTGTGGCCTTGGGCACATCACTTCATGCTGCTGTGCCTCAGTTCCCTCTTCTGTGAAATAGGAATAACAACTGTTTGCTTCACAGGGTTTCTGAGAGGACTGAGTGGGATGAAGACATGGCGAATGCTCAGAGCAGTGCTTGAATAAAAGTAAAATATTATTACTAGTTGTAACTTTATATCTATAATTAGTTCAATCTTCCAGAAAATTTTAAAGTCTCCGCCTGATAGATGCAGCCAGTGCCATCTAAGTAGATCGCTCCCCTATAGCTATGTGATCTAGGCTCAGTGACAAATTAAAAAGGGGCAAAAAAGATCCTCCTGGATCCAGAGAGGGGACACGACTGCCCACCTTCTGTCTCTGGCCTGACCCTCAGTCATAGAAAAGGAGTGACTGCACAAGGACAAGCCAGGTCTCCACAGCCCTAGGCAGGCCACTATGCCAGGGTGCTCAAACTCTGACCTCCACCCATGGTCCGGGACACACAGACATATAACCACTAATCTACCCATTGTCACAACACTCACCCCAACTGTGGGTAATACACTTGGACATTTTCTATCCTCTAACAGTCTATTTCTATTATTATTATTATTTCTAATCCTCACCTGAAGACTTGCTTAGAGAGAGAGAGAGAGGGAGGGAGGGAGAGAGAGAGAGAGAGAGAGAGAGGGAGAGAGAGAGAGAGAGAGAGAGAGAAACATCGACCAGGGATCGGACCTACAACCTGGGCATGTGCCCTGACCGGGAATCAAACCAGCGACCTTTGGGTGCACAGGACGATGCTCAGCCAACTGAGCCGCTCTGGCCAGGCGCGATTATTTTTTGAGAGTCCTGTTTCACAGCCCACTGATGGGTATCGACCTGGGCTGTGAAAAATCGTTGATTGGGCTGCGCAGCATCTGCCCATCTACAACCACCTTGGCCATCTTTCTCCCCACCTAGGACCTCACTGGTCCTTTCCAATCTCCAGACGCTTCCTCTGTGGCCTTAAAATGAACAGCTGCTAGCTCTGTAGTTATGGCTCCTGCTTCTGCAAGATTCGCTCAGGTTACAGCACTGGGCCCTCTTTGCTCATCAAAATACTTCTAGGGATGATGGGTTTTCAAAGTTCTTTTCAACTGTTCCCTTTCCGATGATATGCTGCTTTTAATACCTCCTTTACCCATGGCAGCCATGTAACTTTGCACAAAATCCAGGTGGAGATCCCCCCCCTCCCTCCCTTGCAATTCTAGAGCGAGTTAGTGCTTACCTGACTTTTCCCAGCACCAGGGCCACCTGATGGGATGGGTGTTTCACAGTGAAGGCTCTGAGGCACAGGGAACTAAGGGACCTAACCAAGGTCCCCCAGCTAGTAAGTGGCAGAACTGAGTTTCCAACCCAAGCCTGTATCATGTGTTGACTCTTGACCTTTGCTTTCTATAAGTAAAAAAGTGACTTGACAAGTTCCTGCATCTCTCCAGCCGTCCTAATTTGGTCCCCACACAAGACCAGCTTTGGCTGCACACCCTTGCTCACGCTCAGGCTGCCTTCCACCTCCAGGGCTGCCTAAGGTTGCCCTGGGAATCTCCCCCCTCCCCCTCCCTGGGAACTGGAGAGAGGTCACTTCTGAGCCTGCAGAGCTTGTTTAAACAGCACCTCCGGTTTCTCCTGAGGCCCATCCCACAAGGCCCAGGTGCTGTCGTTATCTGCTCTATTGAAAATGCACTTTTGTCTTCCTGGGAGAAGCAGGCCTCTTCCTAATTCTCACAAGCTAATGGCAAGAGAGCTGCTGTTCTTTCTTCCCTACCTCATAAACACTTAATCCATCTTCCTGGCTCTGCCCACCCCAGAATCTGAAAAATGAAGGCAAAACCACAAAAAGCACATCCCTTCTGAGAGCCTGCTGTTCTGAAGAGGCTGTCACAGGGATAGCTGCCATTTATCATGAACCTGAAATGTGCTAGCAGGGACACTCCTCAGCTCTGGTGTTTGCAGGTCACAGATAACGCACAGCGAGGGTGAATAACTGCCCTGAAGTCACACAGCACTAAGTGGGATTTGAACCCTGTCCTCTCTGCCTCCAAAGCCTGCACTCTTTCTACCACCCCACACAACCCCTCCCCTCACGGGAAGAGGCCCCGAGACAGTATCACAGACCCTTCCAAAGAGGAGCATGGCTCGCTTTTCATAACCTCTCCTTCTCCATCTGTGTGCACACATGCACACACCCATCCATCCTCCTAGAAAGGAGTCAATGTTTTAAATTACATGAATTTTAAGTAATTGTGTTTGAAGGGGTATTAAAAAATATTTACATCTCCCTTTTCTCCTGCCCCAAATAACTGACTGGGGACCCTGGAAGATGTTGGCCATGCCAAAGCAGGAGGCTGCCACACACAGCTGTCACCTAGGGAAGCTTCACGATAAGCCTCCTGCCTGATCCCACAGCTGCCCCAGCTGCTCCCACCTGGTGGCAAACCCCACATCAACCAGCACGTGACCATCCCTCTGCCTGGTCCCCTTCCCACCCACCCTCAGACCCAGACCCAGCCTGGGAAGTCCCATACTGGCTCTGGGCAAAAGGACAGGACATGGGACAGCAGGTGCTCCACCTCTGGGCACATGGCCACCCAGTCCGGTTTCATCCAGCACACTCGTTTTTCAAATGTCCCAGTTTCAGCCTCCCTTCCTGCAACCTGGGCCAAACTGTTCACCCCTGGATTTCTGACCCCTGCTAACAGGGCTGGGCTGGACAATGGCTGGGCCTGCTGGGGGCTGATGTGAGCCAGAATAGCTACAAAGGCAGGGGACAGAGGCGATGTCAGAAACCTTTCAGGATCCATGCCCTGTCCCAAGTATTAGCACCTGCCGTGTGCCAGTCAGACCCATTCTTCCTGCTCACAGCCTTGATAACAAAGAGTGCTGGCTATCCCTCTCCTGGCCTTGTTCCTGTTTCTGTTCTCAGCCCAGCAGCAAACCAGGGAGCCAGGAAAAACCACTGAATGAGATGTAGAACTCTCACACCCAACCCTCCAGGCCAGCTGAAGCAGGTGTCATTCTATAAGATATTAGCGAACACCTACTATGTGCAGGGTTCTGTGTGGGAAAGAGGGGCTCAGGGTACAAGACATGGCAAGTGAAGAAGCTCCCATCAAATTGGGAAGACAAGTACCATATAAGACAGAATTTGGTGCCACGTGTTTGTGCTCACCGGCAAGTAGGAGTCATCCAATAAACTCCAGGCATCAACTCTGGGCTGGGCTTTCAACGAGCAAGACAGACAGTCCCTGCCCTCAAGGAAACACCAATGATTACAATGGGATGTGCTAAGTCCAAGGCAGGTGTAAGCGAGGCTTTAGGGAGCTGTGCTGGTGAGGTTTTGGTGAGGGAAGGCTGCCAGAGACCCTCCTCCCCCAGCCCTCCAAGAGGGACCCACCCCTGCCTGTACCCAATTTAAACCCAGGCTCAAACCAGGCCCCTAACCCAAACATGCTCTCAGCTGAGGTTAAACAACTCCCCCTCCTCCCTGATTCTGATGACAAGTCTGCATGTTTAAGTTTCCTTTTGGGCTTTTCTATTTATGTTGTCATTGATTACTTTGCTCCTAACTCATCTGATTTCAATTTGGACTGATTTGATCCTAATTTTATTACCATGTAATCTGAATGCACATAATTACTGTAATTATGCTGCTGAGGGAAACAGCTCCTCCACGGCGGGAAGACCTAAATTTAGGACTTCCTGGCAAAGGCGGCTGTTGGCCGGGTGGACCCACAGCCACCTCAAAGCTGGCAGTCTCTGGGAGTGCAGATGCCCTCCCCCACCCCACCTCAGCGAGATGTGTATTTTGGGCTTCATCTCAGTGATGGGGTTGAGGTCCTTCTCAGGAATCCTGCGAAAATGTAGGACTGTGAGCTAGAGGTTGGGAACACCCTCTCTGTGTTCTCCAGCCCATACCACCACCCTCTGTTGCACTGCTCAGCCTGGGTGTCTCCTTTCTGTCGGCAACCACATACCCCCCACATCCCAAGGCTGTCCTATGTCTAGGGTGCAAGATGCCAGCAGTCTCCCTGAAAAGACTTGGAGAGCAAGAGGTTTTCCTGCTAACCATGGGGCTGGGGAAAGCAAGCTGTGATGGAAGGGCCTGCCACTGGTCTGTATGGATCCTTCCCAGACGTCCAAGGCCTCCTCCTGCAGGAAGCCTCTCTGACTCATCCAGCTCTCTCCATACTTTGTCACTTATATCAACGGTATATACACAGCACAATGGGCATGCCCCTGTCTCATGCCCACCTGCTGCCATCCTCCCGCAGGAAGCTGCAGGGACCTGCTCACCCTGAGCCCACAGCTCACTTACCCAGTGCAGGGACCCAATGCAGACCTTGGCGGCCATCAGAGGCACAGTGGGGTCCGAGGGCCGCAGCTTCACACACTCCCGTAGCAGAGACACGGCGTAGGCCGACTGCAGAGGAAAGAGCAGGCAACGCCATCATGCAACAGACCGGGCGCCTCACGCATGGTGGGCGGACCTTCCAAACGGACAGTCCTGGCTCTGCGCCCCTGTCCTCCCAAGAGCCAGGAAGAGGGCCCAGTAGGAGCCCAGGCAGTGTGGGCAGACAAATCCCTCCCAGACCTGTTTCCTCATCTGGAGAATGGAGGATGTGACCCCTACCCAGAAGGGATATGGTAACAGCTAAGATGACAACAGACGGAAGCTCTTTAAAAGGAATTCAACCCGAAACACCCATCAGAAAGAACTTACACACCACTATGTTCAGAGCAGCACAGTTTACAATAGCTAAGGTCTGGAAACAGCCCAAGTGCCCATCAGTAGATGAGTGGATAAAAAAGCTGTGGGACATTCACACCATGGAATACTATGCAGCTATAAAAAAGAAGGATCTCGTACCCTTTGGGACAGTATGGAGGAAAACTGGAGATTATGCTGAGTGAAATAAGCCAGGCAGAGAAAGACAAGTACCACATGATCTCATTCATATGTGGAAAATAATGAACAAAATAAATTGATGACCAAAATAGATCCAGAGACATAGAAGCATGGAACACACTGAGGGATCTCAGAGGGAAGGTGGAAGTGGTGGAGTGGGTGGGGAGAGATTACTTGAAGAACTTATATGCTTATATGCATAACCTATGGATACAGACATTGGTATAGGGAAGGCCTGGGGGTGGGGTGGATACAGGGTGGAGGGGATCAATGGGGGGGGAAGAGGGGACATCTGTAATACTTTCAACAATAAAGAGAAATTTAAAAATAAATAAATAATTAAATAAAATAAAAAATACCGTAAAAGGAATTCAAATGTGAACCACACAAATTTCAGAGATAGAAAGGAGCTCTCTCAAACTTCTGAGTTCAACACTCTTGGGTTAACAGATGATAAGATTAGGCCAAAACCTTACATGGACTTGGAGGCAGGGTAGGTGGTAGGGAGTGGGGTGGAAGTGTAAAGGCTGGCAGACAAGGAGGAGAGAAGCCAAGGTTGCAGAGCCAGAGAGAACGTCCAGACAGGAATCTGGGGACCCCCCAAGGCTCTAGGGACTCAGTCATGGATATGGAATGANGTTAATAGATGATAAGATTAGGCCAAAACCACATGGACTTGGAGGCAGGGTAGGTGGTAGGGAGTGGGGTGGAAGTGTAAAGGCTGGCAGACAAGGAGGAGAGAAGCCAAGGTTGCAGAGCCAGAGAGAACCTCCAGACAGGAATCTGGGGACCCCCCAAGGCTCTAGGGACTCAGTCATGGATATGGAATGAGACTGGACCTGCTGAGGTTGGCCAAGTGTGGACGGAGGGCCACAGGGGAGAGCATCCAGAGCCAGGCAGGAATATAGCTAACCACAGTAATGAGAAGAACACCAGCAACACTTATCTACATTCCATTACGGACCAAGCATTGCTGTAAGTCAGGGCCAAGTCAGGCCCTCTGCTTGCTTTTGTAAATAAAGTTCTGTTGGAACTCAGCCACATCCATTCATATGTGTATTGTCTGTGGCCACTGTCATAATGCAAAGGCAGAGCTGAGCAGTTCCCACAGAAACTGTTTGCCTGCAAAGTCAAAAATGTCTATTCTCTGACCCTTTGCAGAAAGGCTGCTGACACCTGTTGCAAGTGCTTTACAATATTAAGTCATTTAATTTTCACAACTCTCCTATGAGGTAGGTGCTATGCCCCTATTCACAGATGAGGAAACAGAAATGTAGAGAAGTTAAGTAGCTTGTTCAAAGCCACACTGCCCATAAGTGGCTGAGCTGGGGTTTGAACAGTCTGGCACCAAGTTTGTAACCACTACCCTATCCTGTCTCTGTGGTGACTGCCTTGGCCAGAGAGGCCGCCTCTGTCTCCCAGCTCCCCCTGCCCTCCCTTCACCCCCCCAGGCTAAAGGCTGGAACCTCTGACTGAGTCCAGTGCTTTTCCATGAACTCAGCAGTGACCTCCCCCCCCACCCCCTACCACCCAGTGTGTACACTCCCCTTCCTGTGTGAGCCCCAAGTAGGCAGGGACATATGCGTGTAACTTCAACAATTCCCACATGCTGGGCACTACTGCGGGCTGAGCTCCTCACCATCAATTAGCTCTTACCCTCCCTGGCAACTCCGGAGGTACTGCTGAGAAAACGGGGGTTCACCTGTACACAGCATGGTGTGAGGGACTGGTGGATGCAGACCTGGGACCCCACTGGTCTGTATCCACCCTGGCCTCCCAGCCTCTCTTGAGCTAACCCTCCTTTTTCCACCAGCTAAGGAAGGAGAGCTTTTCTCAGCCCAGATGTGAGCCCTGGGCTCTGGGCTCAGGCTTATTAGGCCAGTTCTAGACGTCTCGGTCAACAGCCTGCTCTGTGCCCAGTACTGTGGGAAGGGGCAAGAGGCCATGGCGACGGGCTGTCAGGAAGGCTGGGGAGAGAAGACAAGCACTGCCATCCCCCGCTGCTCTCTCAAGAAACAGGACCACGCACAAGAGGGCATTAGATGACAGGCTCCGGCAGGCTGGGAGACCCACAGAGCGCCCCGCGTGGGCTGGAGCAAGGGAGGCTGCAGGAGGGGCTTGAAGGGGCTGCAGGGCATCCACCTCTCCCGAGCCCCTCCTGTGCATGCTGCTCCCAGCACCCTCACCCCGGCCCCTCTGGCCACACACCCCACAAGCTTCGAGGCCTCTCCTCGGCTTCCTTCCCCAGCTGCTGACCTGCGCCTCCCTAAAATACAGGGTTCTCTAACCCTGACCCTCCCACATTCATTCTACCCCCACACAGGCCACAAAACGCTGCTATTTAAGGAGCCATCTGAGGACTCCATAGGCAGGGCAGCCTGCATTTTTTTTATTTTTATTTTTTGTCATACTCGTTACCTAGCAACGCAGCCAATGGGACTGCTGAGGAAACCAAAAGATAGAGCGACCTAAATCATGGAACTCCCTCTCTTCTTGCAGGCTGAAGTGCTAGGTACATTTCTATCTGCCCTCCTGGGAGACCTTTTGTGCACAATCCCAGGTCCAGAACCTTGCTTTCTGCCTTAGGATCTTAGAAAAGGTGAGGTCTGGTTAACCAGGCTGACCAATCTGGTGGGCAGGGTTCCTCAGGGAGGTGGAGAGTGTATTCTAGAACAATCCCCTGCTGCACCCAACCCAGGGGTAGGTGCAACCCAGTGTCTCCAGCGTGAGGAGCCTCATGTGAGGATCTCAACAGTCACCCCACACCCCATCTGTAAGCCCACTCTTGTGTGCACCTTGCTGGTCTATGAAGGAGCCAGGCCGGGACACCAGCTCCCTGGACCCTGAAACATGCTGGGCTATGTTTGGACCCCTCTGAGCCTGTCTCTTCTCAGTAAGGAGGTGGAAGACCCCATACCATCCATGGCATCTTCTCCTGAGATTGGGGGCTTCCAGGAGCAAACACAGAAATTAAAGCTAACTTCATCTGTGATCATTCTGAGGAGGGGACCCCAGCTTTCCTTAGCATCTCAAAGGGGTGCATGACTCACAGAAGGGTGAGAACCACTGGGGCCCTGGCTCTCCTCCTGGTCCACGCTCACTATTACAAAACTAGAGGCATTTTCTCTGTTCCCTGGAGGGAGGAAGCTGTCACATGCCACCGTGAGCTGTCTGCCCAGACTCCATGTAAGCTCCAGCCTGGCTCCTCCCTCCCCACCTCTGTTCTGAGTTCTCCCTGAGCCTTGAAAAGGCCCCACTGAGCACAGAGCCCGGAATGTCATGTCCTGCTCTGTGGGGTGGCCAACGTTATGGGAGAGGAGGAAGAGGTTTGGGAAGACAAGTGCCCAGCAGCGCAGGGGAAGGGAAGGCTCCCCACTTGATTCTTGGCTGTGCTTCCCACCTGTCAGGCTACAGCACCTGTTCTCCTTCCCTGTCCCTGCCAGGACCCAGCCTGTGCACCCTCCACTTGTGACAGAGGCCCTGGCAAGCTTAGAGGGCCCTCCTTGGAGACGGCTGCGGGGCTAGAAATGGCAGGTGGCACAGATGGGCGGGCAGGCGGAGGAGGAGGGGGCGAGGAATTCCCTCAGCCCCAAGAAAGGGCCCTGGGTGTTTACAGCTCTTGGAATGATCTGCGAGCTCTTGCCATCTTATTTCCTGCCTTCGAAGCATCCTCAGTTCCAACAGCCCCAGCACCCAGCCCCAGAAAGCTTTTCCTATCATGTCGCTACTTAAAATAGAAGCTTACATAAGCATGATTCTCATCCGAGGGAAAATGAGGGGTGCTGGAGCAGTCCTTGGTGGGTAGAGAGCAAATGCAGCCCTTCAACTGGGGATACGGTCAGCTCCAGGTTCACGGGGGGGTCCTTCCCTGACTCCACGCTTGGGGGCAGGACGTTGGCTACAGCCCAAATGGAACAACATTCCCCTTGCTGGAACCGTCTCCCCATGCCTGTCTCATGCAGTCAGGCCCATCAATTTACCCATGGAAATGCCACAATGCCTCATGCGTGCACATATTCTCGGAAAAAAGCAGCCATAGACTCACACTGCATACCTGGCACACCTGAAACTCACACATGGACACTGGATTCACACAGGGGTCTGTATGTGGCCCTCCCATGCCCTCTCTCCTGGAGATGAAAACCAGATGCCCGACAACATTTCTGAGTCCCGCATGCAGTCCCCACCTCTGGGAGGGACCCGAGGGGAGTGGAGTCCCCCAAGAGTGAATGTGCAACTTTCAGTGCCTGGGCCTTACCTTTCCACAAGCCACCATGGAGAGGGCCACTTGGTACCAAAGGTGAAATTCTCCACATGCAAACTTCATGGCTCGTTCCAGGCACTGCAGAGAGGAAGAGGGTCAGCACTTCTTCAGGACGTGCCCCAGCCCATCCCGCCCTCCCAAAGTAATCACTGCCCAAGTCACTGCCCTCAGAGGCTGTGGGAGCCTGTACTTGGTTCTAGTCAGAAAACTCCAGGTAACCTGTCCATGCGACAGGCATGCTGTGTTATCCCACGCAAGTCTCTAGCCCTCTCTGGCCCTCGGTCCCCACCTCCATAGCATGTGAATGATCTCACAGGGTGATGGAGAAAAGCAAATGAAATGAGATTTATGGAAATGCTTTCAAGATGTAGACATCCAATAAAAATAATACAGCTGACATTTATTAATATTGTGCATGGCACTGTTCTCAGCTTTTTACATGTAATAACTCATTTACTCCTTGCAACAACCTCGTGAGGTGGATTATCTAATTACCCCCATTTCTCAGATAAGAAAGCTGAGGTCCGAATGACTTGCCAGAGTCACAAGGCCTGTGAGTGGCAGAGCAGGCTGACTGTAAAGCTCATGGATAGAATGGCTCCTCTTCATCCCGCTGTTCTCTACACCCACTGACAAAGTCTACTGCCAGTATATGAGGACAGGATTCACCGTGTGGCCATGATCAGGTGGGGTGGGGGACAGGTGAGGGACGCAGGATCAGACAACACACACTTTGAGAGCTCAGTGGCTTGGGTTCACATGCCAGCTCGACATCATGCCCTGTGCCATCTTGGACAAAAACCACCTCTGTGGGTCTCGCCTTCCTTGTGGTAAACTTGAGAGAACATTTATCCTTCCAGCATTAAAGAGGGGACCATCTCAGAAAGCTCCTTGCACTATGCCTGGCTTGACCAGGGGCTTGGCAGATGTCACTGTCCCTCCTTTCAAAAGCCCTCTGAAACACGTGGAAAGAGAATCTATTGCCAAGAGGCTCACTCCCATCACAAGGAGACAAGGGCCCCACAGCCACCTTGATCTCTGCCTGGATTTGAAAGCTCAAAAATGTGTGTGCCATGTGCATTGTGGGCAGGGGGCAGAAGAGAGGGGCAGCTCAGTACCCTTGGTCCCCCTACCACAGAGAGGTACCACCCCCTGGGCACAGCTCACTGAGCACTGCCCAACAGAATGGGGGGG